TTAAATGTCTCAGTTCCATTCTTGGTGCCCCACTTGATCCTGATCAATGCTCTAACGTTCACGTAAGAGATACGGCAAGTCTGTGATTTCATCCTACATCGTCATTCAGCAGCCTACAGGATAAGATTGTGTGTGGGTTTCGAGATGTGGCTCACTTTGGAAACTTTCATGTAAGCCAGAATCAGAAAGCCACTAGGCCATCTCCTTCTAGAATCAACCATCGCAGCATAGTTTGGGAGTGAGAAAGCTGCTGCCAGAACTGAAGTCTCCACAGCGGCATAACACCTGCTGGAACCACATTTTAGAAAAACAGGTTCCTCATGTGGTAGGCACTGTGTTAGTTTGAAATTCAAGTATACCTCATTGAAGAAACCAAATTTCATCTGGAGCCCTAGCTGAAAGGGAGTCAGGGAAATATATTTTTGAGCTTTCTTAACTCTTCAGAAAATGAAGGCTCACTAGGAAAAGGTTGAAATAGATGTTATGTTAATGGAGTCTTGCTACAGTATCTACCACAGAGACCAGTGAATGTTTCTCTGGTGCAGCTGAGACATAAAAAAATGGGAAAGAACTAGCTGTATGAAAACTTGGGGTGGGGGTGGATTCTAGTCAGAGGAGGAGAAACAGTAAAAGAGGCCCAGAAGTGAAAGAGAGAGCATTAATTAACCTTGAAAACAAATGGCAAAAACATAGACACCTCTCCCCACCTTGCATAAAAAAGTCAAATGATGGCAATTTCCAAAAACTCAATTTTTCATTTAGAGCATTATTGCAGTAAGTATAGAGGCTACCACGTACCCAGTCTAACCCTCCTCTGCACTCATGAGAGGCTAGGGTCCTCTGTTTAAGCCAGGAGGAGTGGAATATCCCTTCTCTCACGTGTGAGGAATCAAGCATGAAAAGCATAGTATAACCATAACAGCTAAGGAGCACCATCCATTTACCTTAAATGGTGAGAGAGTCAGAGACGGAGCTTGGGCCTGTACAGGAAGGTCACTGGCAAGATTTAGATGCCACTCACAGGGTGGCCTTGGATTCCAAAGTGAGAAGGCAGTTATAGATCCTGGAGTCCTGTGGACACAGAGATAAATTAAACCTTAGAGACAACCCCCTCATTTTACAGGTGAGAAAATGGACAGAGGTTGAACGTCTTGTTCAGGGTGACAAAGTCAGTGGGGCATCGGGACTAGAACCCCTAATAGCAAACATTCCTTTACCATGTGCTTCACCTTACTTTCAGGTTTCTCTTTTTATGATCATTATCTAATGCCAAATGCAGATGTGGTAGCTGATCTAGGATAATACCGGCTGGTGATCAGTTTATTATATAGATCCTCATCAGTCAGACGGTACTCAGAACAGCTGGTTTTCATTAAAGATCACTGAGCAGTTAAAGTATTTTTATAGCTCTGAATACTGCTTCCTTTAACCCAATCCAGTCCTACTCCCAAGGATATGTCCAGTTCCACCCGTAGTGAATTTCACTTCCAGAGTTTTGTTTTGTTTTGTTTAATTTTTGCAAGAATGGTGAAAAGGGATCAAGACATTAGAAAAAAGTCATAAAAAAGGAACTTGAATGAAGAATTTCCTCTAAAGAGTCACGAGAGGTAACTAGTTTCTTTATTAGTTTGAGTGGCAGGTATACTTAAAGAACTCAGAAGAAAAATGACTTTATACTACCAAACTGTTTGCCAGGTTGAATCTTTAACCCAGGGAGCTTTGTATATTCTTTATATTCCATATTTGGTTAATTTGACACAAATTAGAACTCACAACCCTAGAAAGACTTAACTATATTCAGATGAAGCACTAAAATATCTAATTGCTATTGCCTGAGAATTCACAGGCACTGTGCTTTCATGTGGGGAAATAAGCAGTATTGTGCAGTATTAGGTGGTATCATAGTTCCAGAAGTTCGAATTGGATTAGTCAACCATAATACATACACACATTTATAGCTTTACAGAATCTATAAAATGTTACTTGTTTGTCTTCAACATCATGATGCAACAAGTTATATTATCCCCCAAAGAAAAACAAAGTCAGAAGTCTCACTTTGCAAATTCTAACAAATCAAACGGTCAGTGAAGGAAGCTATAAAAATCCAGAATTGTATATACATAACCTCTCCCAGAAATACCACATATTTTTTCCCTGCTATTAGTAAGATGTAGACTATTTTGTTTTATAAAATGGTAAGTTAGAATGACAGGCAATATGTTTTACTTAAAATCCCCTTTATCCCAAGCCCTTGCAGGGCAGACAGAAAGTTGAATTCTCTTGTGATGGTTAGAGAAGCAGTTTACGAGAGCTTTAAATGATGTGTGACTTTCTCATGGCTTATTAGCAATCGATCCCAAGAATTCTGAACCTCTGCATCACTGACCACAAGGTTCTGAAGGAAAATGTCTGCACATCCTCCCAGGTCAGCTTAGAAAGGTTGGGTCGTGGTGTGACGTGGCTGAACAAGCAGAAGAAAAGCGTCTGCTCTCAGGAGAGAGTGGTCGGGAGTTAGAGTGTATGATGGAGCAAGGCACAAGCCATGTTGGCCGTCTTCATCCCGTAGTGTTTAGAATATCCTTTGTGGAAGGAAAGAGGGAAAACTTCCTGCTCTAAGAATAATGATGCCCTAAGGAACAAACATCTGTTCTCTTGTGCAGTGTTTAAGGGAAGCAGCTGTCATCTGCTCTGAGTTAAAAGGTGGGCCTACTCCCACCTCCACACTTCCCCATTCCCCCCAAGCTGTCTGCTCCGTCTCTATGTTGGGGGCTGGTGTAAACAGCGCTACCCTTTCTCGGAGCATTTTCAGCCCTCCTTTCTTCCCCTAGTTCAGCCCACGCATTAGCCTGCCGAAGTGACTGAACAGAAGGCGTATTTCCTCGTGAATTTTGGGCTTGGGCAAAGAGTCTTGGTTTGGAGTATGAAGAGGGTAACAATCTTTTAAAGTTTAATCAGGTCTGGTATACGTAAGTAAAACACGAGGGTCCCGATGAGCAGAGAATGTGCGCGCACCCTCAGGCTGGTAGGGGAAGTTCTAGATTGCTCCATAAGATTTTAGTAGTATTGACCTTTTTACTTCACAAAAGATGGAGGGAAGGCAGAGAAGTGATATACCAGATTCTCAGAAGAAATTTAAGGGGTTTGGAGGGAATCAAGGAAAGAACATTGGAAAGAACCTGGTTTTCTTCCCTCTGCCCCACACCAAGTTAAAGCCTCTTTTCATCACGTCAATCTCAGCCACATCTGGCTAAGGCAGTTACAGTGCTGGCAGAGTGAATAGTCAAGGGGGTGGAGGAGTGGGGTTCTTACAAGTTCTCATGCCGGCAGGGGCGCGGCAGGAAATCTAGGAGAGAAGCCTTGACAGCTTTGCTCAGTATGAGGGAGCCGGGGGGCCTCGGCTGTGGCCAGCATTGCTTCATGGGAATTGGGGCTCAACGTGGCCGGATTTTCCAGGAGATGCCAGAAATCCTGTTTTATTGTTAAAACTCTCCCAATTTTTAAATAGTACAACAAATTCGGTGGTTTTTAAAAAATATTCAGTACCAAACCAAACAAATTGGAATGCATTTGCCAGGTCTGCTAGTTTTCTAACTCAAGTTAATGGGCTCCACTCTCCTAAGAAGTTTTGGGACCTTAAAACCAGAATTTATAACTCAAATTAAGTGAAGGGAATAAGATTTTTCCCCTTCCATTCATTTAATAAATATTCATATTAACAAATATCAAAACTATCCATCAGTAGACACAGTGGATACAAAGATGTGTAAGGTACAGCCCCACTTGTCAGTCGCAGTGTACTTAGGAGACAGATAAACAAGAAATTACATTATAGTGAACTTCGTGTAATTAAACAGGTATTCCCAAGGTGGGCTTAGCTCTGAAGGGCATTTAACTCTTCTTTGGATGGGAACTGTGTCTTAAGTCCTTTAGTTAAAGAAAGTAGGAGAAGCAGGAGGTAAAAGGAACGTAGATTTAAAAAAAAAAAAAAAAGAGCAAGGTGTATTTGAAGAAATTGCAAGTGTTTTACTACAATTAAATGACTAACAAATCAAAACTGAGGATGTTAATTAAAAAAACAGATCCCTCTCCAAAAAAACAGTTTCTTAACCCATCCCAGACCTACTGAATCAGAATCACTAATTCTATTTTTTTTTTTTTTGCGGTATGCGGGCCTCTCACTGTCGTGGCCTCTCCCGTTGCGGAGCACAGGCTCCGGACGCGCAGGCTCAGCGGCCATGGCTCACGGGCGCAGCCGCTCCGTGGCACGTGGGATCCTCCCGGACCGGGACACGAACCCGTGTCCCCTGCATCGGCAGGCGGACTCTCAACCAGTGCGCCACCAGGGAAGCCCACTAATTCTATTTTTAATAGGTACCCTAGGTGATTCTTGTCGTCAGGCTTAAGTAAAGTAGGTTCTGTTGGTCTCTAGATTAGAGATTGTGTCAAATCTGAGAGCAGCATAGTCTGTCTGCATTGGAAGCCAGGCTCCAGTCCTCACCTGGCTGTGCTACCATGGGTAAGGAAGTGTTCATCCATGCTTACGTTTCTGTACTTGAAAAATGGAGCTAGAGTATCGATTTCATAAGGTTGTCTTGAGAATTAAATGTAAAATGCTTAGAACATTATCATTAACCTGCTCACCACTTATCCTCTGGGACGGGGCCAATAATTACTCAATAAGTATCTGTTGAACGAATAACACTGAGGAGGTATAAAGGGGCAGGATCACTGGAGTCCTTAATTCTGCCTACTGTTCTAGGTACAGTTACCCTCTCTCTTCCACCTGGCCTACCTGGAACCATATTAGTTACCCACATGTGGCTCAGTTTAAAAAAAAAAAAATGGAGTAACTTCTACATTAAAAGATTTCTAGTATATGACATTAAAAGGAAAAAGGATAAACACAGTGTGCTATTTCCCCATAGCAAAGCAAGAAAACTTTGTGAATCACTGCTGCTTTAACAGCTTTATCTCACTTTCTTCTTCTCCCCTTACCTAAGGCTGCCACGGTACCATCTGCCCAGACCCTTAAAATCACCGACTTCAGCTTCAGTGACTTTGAGCTGTCTGACCTGGAAACGGCACTCTGCACAATCCGGATGTTCACTGATCTCAACCTTGTGCAGAACTTCCAGATGAAACACGAGGTAGGAATGCAGTGATGTCCTCTGGAAAGTGTGTGTGTGTGTGTGTGTGTGTGTATGTGTGTGTAAGAGAGAGAATTAGTTTTGGACGCTAGTATGGAATAAGGATTTTTAAGTTTCAGAGATTGATATACTGTCACCTAATGCATACCCAGGGTGTTTAAAGAAAAGTTATCAACCATTAAAAAGACATGTATTGGGTTCCCACATGTATCAAGCACCAGGCTGAAGAATAGGGGAGAATATTCCCAACAGTGAGAGCAGCATGTGCAAAGGCAGGATGACAGAGAGCGGAGGGTGGAGGCACGGAGCACTGGTGAGGGGGTGAGAGTGGTGAGAAAAGCAACCAAGAAGCAGATTCTGTAGAACCTTGTACACTGTTCAGAGGAATGTGGATTTTATCCTGAAAACAATGGTGAGTCACTGAGGAATTTTAAGTAGGGAAGTAACATGATCTGATTGCGGAGGTTACGATAACACAGTAGAAAGAAGGACCAAAACAGAGTGAACTCCTTTGGAAATGAGGGAGTGAAGAGGTTGATGTGAAGCCAAGCTCTTGGTTCAAACAGGGTCACCCATATGGAGTGAAGATGAAAACTGATTTTAACCCCCGTCGATTACCTTATTCGCCTCTCAGAAAATAGCAAGACTGAAATCAATACCTTCTAATACCAGTTGGGAGATATCAGGGAATTCTATTCTGTTTCATAATGGCTACGTGTATCCCATCAAAGAATAAGGGAGAATAGAAAGGCCGATATGAAAAAAAAATTCAGTAATTTGCCTTTAAAACTACTTTTTTACAGTCAGTTGAATGTCTAGTCTCCTCGTACAGATTTCCTATCTGGAAATGTAAATACCTTGAAGGCCTCCACTATCCAGCAATCCATTCATTCATAAAATGAAAATGTATTAACAGTAAGCTGTGTATCCTGTACTGTGCTAGGTACACATTTCAGTGACGAGTCGTCCCTGCTCTGAAAGCCTCACTGAGGCATGAAAACTGAGGGCTAATATAGCTAAGGTTAATACAGTGTCATTTCTGGTATTACTGGGGGCCCGAATCTAGTTCTTTCTTTAATTTAACTGAAGTTTATATTACTCTTGGGTGAAAACAAAGACCAACTGTCTGTAGACTCTTCTCTAGTAATACTTCACTCCTATAAGAGCGTGTTGATTAAGAGATACCATATCATTTAATTATTTTAAGAAGCTCTCAGGAAAGGTTCTTTGGTTATTATTGTCCCTGTCTTACAAATGAAGAAATTGACATAGCATGGTGGAGTAGAAAGTTCATGCATTTTGAGTCATAGCTCGACTAGTGATCTCTTATTTCTTTGGGCAGTTAATCTCTCACATTCTCAGTTTTGTAATCTGTTAATTGGGAATAGTGGTATGACCTCCCCAACGGGAGTCCCGTGAGAATTACACATGCATCTGTGAGATTGTCTATTTGCATGCATGTGTATGTGTGCACACTTGTATATTTCGATTAATACACAGGTGTAGAGTACATGTCAGTTATCCCTTCCTTAGACCAAATTTGACCATGGTTATATTTCCCTATCATATTTCTCTGTTGAAGGTTATAGGGCTCATTTTAAAAAGCCTTTTCTATTAATGGAATGAAGATCTCATTTAGAGCCGGAAGTTCTAAATGCAAATCTCAGTTCTGCTTCTTGCTAGTCACGGGACTTGTAAACCTAGATAGCGACTCAAATCCCTTTCCATTCCTGAGATCGCCCATACTTTACACTAAGTGCTGATTCTGTTGAAAGGGCCTGGACAGAACAGGAATATGATCCTTGTACCTATTTATGAAATTCTTATATAAGTTGATTTATTTCTTATTTCTTAAAAACATAAGCTTTTAGATAGCATTTGAGTGTTGGGTATGAAGATAGTCACTGAGAATTTCTTTTACAGTCTTTATTTTTACCTTTCCTTGAATGTTTATCCATTAGGCAGATATTTCTCCTCAATGTCTCATTCATCTACTCTCCTTTTCTGTTTGAATAACTACTATTCTAATTCCGGCCAACATCAACACGAACATTGCTATTATTCTGGTTGGCCTTCCTGCCTTAGTGACTCTTGTGTTTTGTTTATTTGAGATATTATTGTCACTGTACATTTCAGATATAATTTTAGGATGATAAAATTAAAATGTTACTGCTAGAGAGGATGTTAAGCACCATGAAGTACCCCGACAAAGAATACTTCCTACTGAAAGTTATGTCAGATCTTCCTGTCTCTGCTTGGCTTCCAAATCTTGAGTTACTCTCCTATAATTCTTGCTGATCTCTGAGGCAGATTCTTCAACTCTACTCCAACAAATCTGCATGTGCTGTACTTGTTTTCTTTGACCTTCTGTCTTTTATGTGTCATTCCTGCCCTGAATGGACAGGATGGCTCCACTTCCAAGTCTGCTCCAAGTATGTTGTGCCATAACATACTTTTCCTTAGAGCCTGACTTAAAAATCTCTATTTCTGGGAGAACCCTAGGATTGACTTCATGCCACTTGGAATGCTATTGACAGTTTATAAATTTGTGCTCTCATTTTTATGTGAATTTATTTCCTTTATATGTGCGCTTTTGTTACTTTCACTCACTACTGATTGAAATTCTTGAAGGCAGGAGCTGAGCTGTATTTTTTCTTTCTTCGCTTTCTCCCATAGCATCTTAAGGATGCCGTGCAGGACTTAGGAAGCCTTTGTAATGTTGGAGACTGATTCAGTGTGTTGAGCATGCTCCCTAGGGTCTTCCAAACTGCACATAATTATTCAGTAGTCCTGTACAAAAGATTGTACTACAGATGTGAACACGCCAGGCATATCCACCAAGCATTAAGCAAATATGACCATAATTTTCCTAAATGCTGTTAAGAACATTTGATAACAGAATCCAAACCTGTACTTGAATCTAGTTACTAATTAGATACAGTTGGGTATCCATTGGGTTACCTAGTTCAATAGGCCTATTTCCATAGAAGCAGTATAGGGAGTTCCCTGGCGGTCCAGTGGTTAGGACTCAGCGCTTTCACTGCCATGGCCCAGGTTTAATCCCTGTTCGGGGAACTAAGATCCCACAAGCCACGCAGCGTGGCCAGATAAAAAAAAAGAAGCAGCAGCAGCAGAATAGAGTAGTCCATCAGGAATTAGGTTTCATAGAGTCATTTTGGTCATTATTTCACATTATATGCATAAGTGCCTATTTAATTATATCTACAGATTTATGATTAGTAAAGAGATATGTCCATAGGTTAAATTTCTGGGTTTTCCTGCTTATTTTCCTTGACTCTTTAATTAATCACCAGTAATTTTCTATGACACTTCACTTCCTAAGCATATCAAAGAAAGTTAATTGCTCTTACTTAAAATTCTCCTAATAAGATGAATCTATCATCTTCGGGGTCGACTTTGTTGAGAAATGGTCATGCTGCAGTGTACTTCACGTTAGCACGTCAGCCTTAGGCATACGGAAATCCTCTGGGAAATATGGTTACTCAGGGGTGAAAGAGCTAGGGGACATTTGGGTTCTTTTTATCAGAATTCCCTGTGAACTGCGTCATAGAACAGGAACAAAGAGACCTGAAAAGAAAAGGGAGGATATGAAAGCATTGATTTTTCTGCCAAATCCTCTATAAACAATTTCTACCAACAAAGAAGAAACCTTGTTTTTGGCCTACTTTTGCAGCCAATCAAACTGTGTTGAATATTGTTAAAGCAACATTCGTTTCCCTGGTACTTTTTCTATTCCCCAGGGCAATGCCCTTTGTGTTTGAAATATCTCCAGTGATACACGTAGGGAGAAGCACATATTTATTTTTAGAGATCCCCAAAAGTATAGTAAATCATTCAGTATTGAAGAGAGGCAGACTCTGATGCTAACACAAACACAAAATTATCAAGCTTACAGCCCATGAGTCCCTGGGGATTGTACTGAATATACCACTTAGGAGTTGAGTTAAACCCAGCTTGTGAGATTTTTCTGAAATCTATCCTTTTTTTCCCCATCTTTTAAAATATGTGTATAACACACACACACACACACACACACACACACACACCCCAGGGCTTTATGTTGCATATATTATTTTTTGTTAATTACTTCTTGGTAACCAAGCAGTAACTCTGCCTGAATATTTAAGCGTAGTTTAAAAGGGACAAAGATTGGGACTTGGAGCTCCAGTTTGTCCTTGGAGCTCCAGTTTGTCCTTGGACATGTGCTGTGTGCCTTGCCCCCAAGCCATCCCCAGAGCCTTGCACAATTACCTTTGCGGATGTACAGAATGGGAGCATGAGAAGAACTGGAGACTGGCTGCTTGCATGGCTCCCTGAGAGTGAATTCATGCATGTGTGACTGCCTACTTGGACTCTCCTAATTGATGACACATGGACATAATATCTTTTAAAAAGCTAGTCTGTGCCCTACCCATGACAAAAGTACCTTTCTTCGAGCTGCCTTGCATTTCACATCTAATTTAGTTAGCACGGTGGTTTGCATGGTAGGCTCTGAAGTCAAACTGCTGAGGTTTGACTTTTGGGCCCACCCTTTACAAGTACTGTGACCTTAGGCAAGTCTCTGAATGTCACTTTCCTCATCTGTACAATAATCAAAATGGTAGTGCCTCCCTCAGAGTCCCGGGATTTAGATGTAAATGCTTTGTACAGTGCATGAAGATTAATAAATGTGTGATAAACGTCAGCAGTTATTTTTACTACTTACGCTTTATTTCCTAAAGGTTCTTTGCAGGTGGATTTTAAGTGTTAAGAAGAACTATCGGAAGAATGTTGCCTATCATAATTGGAGACATGCCTTTAATACAGCTCAGTGCATGTTTGCTGCACTAAAAGCAGGCAAAATTCAGGTACTTCTTAGAGCCATTTATATATTTAAGATATTTTGTTGCTTTGCTGCAAGTATACAGCATATTCTTTCAAGTGTTTTTTAATGTGCACTAATGACGATTGAGAATAATATTTAATGCCACTTACAAAATAAATTATATTTTGTTAATTAAGGAAGACTGGTATGGCAAAATAATTTCTAATTGTCTTTCATATATAATATATATGTGGCCTATTTTAAAAATCTTTAAAATAGCTTCATGTTAAACTTAACAGCCTTTGGGCAAATAAACACTTCCTTCAGAAGAAAACTCTACAATATAAGAAAAGTATCAAATTTCTCATGTTCACATTCAACCTGCTCCATAGTAGAATTCCTCAAAAACCACTCAGGTCCTGAACTTGGCTCCATAGATGAGTCCAGGGTTCTCTGTCACATTTTCTCTGGAGCACTCTGTTAATTTTATAAGTACTATTTCATGGAAAAGGTTTTGGTCTCATATACATTGACCAGAGACTGTTTACAGGAAGATCAATGCAGAAAACTTTCAAGTAATTCGTTCTTTTCCACGCCAAAATGTTCGTATCTCTGTCCTTAGATTCTAACTTCAGTGGGAATCGACAAGTTATTCTATGTCAGTGATTCCAGGCATACATCCATGCTCTTTTTTATTTAATAAATTCTAAAAATGTTATTCTCTGTCTCTACTTTCATAGAGTGCACATTTTAGCTGGCTAGAGCTAAAAAAAAGTGATTGTTGTCCAAGAAGCCATATCAGATACCATAGTAGTACTTTCCTGCCATAGCAAACATTTATAAGAAATAGGGTGGGGCTTCCCTGGTGGCACAGTGGTTGAGAATCTGCCTGCTAATGCAGGGGACACGGGTTCGAGCCCTGGTCTGGGAAGATCCCACATGCCGCGGGGCAACTAGGCCCGTGAGCCACTACTACTGAGCCTGCGCGTCTGGAGCCTGTGCTCCGCAACAAGAGAGGCCACGATAGTGAGAGGCCCGTGCACCGCGATGAAGAGAGTGGACCCCGCTTGCCACAACTAGAGAAAGCCCTGGCACAGAAAACGAAGACCCAACACAGCAAAAATAAATTAATTAATTAATAAACTCCTACCCCCAGCATCTTCTTTAAATATATATATATATATATATATATGTTGACTATAGGTGGACAGGTTATTGATTATTTGAGGCATTTGAACTTTTTCTGTTGATAATGATAATCCCATTCTGAAAACAAAGTACGACTGATTTGCCTGCAGAATAGGATTCCAGCGTGAGTCCTATGTGACTAGAAAGCACATATGTAAAGCACTAAGGAGAAAACCACGTGATTGGTGGAAAGAGGTGGTATAATGCACTTTACCAAACTGTTCTTTCTCTTTCTTTCTTCGACTCTTCGGTCGTGCAGAACAGGCTGACTGACCTGGAGATACTCGCACTGCTGATTGCTGCCTTAAGCCACGATTTGGATCACCGCGGTGTGAATAACTCTTACATACAGCGGTAAGGCATTCACCCCAGCAACAGAAGAGATTATTTCTTTTAAATTGTAGTTTTAAAAGTAAAAGCCACAGCATAATTTGATGGTACAAAATTTCAGTTGGTCAAGGTCCCATAACATACTCTGGTTTTATTTAAGGGAAATGGAAAAAATAATGCAAGTCCAATATTGTGTTGGTAACATCTCTGGCCTGAAGTTCGAAAACTATTTATGTTGAGAATCTTATTTCATTAGATAATTACCAAGCATTTTGCTTTTGTTTATATACACCCAGCTTAGGAGCTTCATTGGAAAACTGTTAAGATTAGATCAGAAAAGGTAGAATTTCACCCTGGAATAAAAGATAATATTTGAAAAGTGCTTAGCTCTATCCTAAGTACTTAGTAAATGCTGCCTAGAAAGAGGCTTTTGGTCTTAGCGAAGGCAGTGGAATACAGTGTTGGAGACTTTGGCTCTGGGGTCAGACTTGGATTCAAATCCTACCTCTGTCACAGAGTTCCTGTGTGACCATGGGCAGGAAACTCATCTCTCTACACCTCCATTTCCTGGCTTGTGAAATCGAGATAACAGCATTCCTACCTCATAGGGTTCATATAAGTTTTAAGACATAACACACATCACTACCAGGTAGAATGCCTGGTACATATCTAAGTGTTAAATAAATCTTAGGAGCAGAAGCCTGCATTTTGGCTGATTTTGCGAGTAAGATACTAACTCTTCAGACGAGCTTTTCAGGCTCCCTTCTGGACCACGCTTAAGTAACATTTGCAGTGACAAACGAGATAATAAAGGTGATATCACTTTTCATCAGATTTTTGAGCCACTGTGACATTTTTATTTTCTTGAAGCAAGTTAGTTGAAAGGCATACATTTTAATGGTGAAATCTCTTACTACAGAGCATTTTTAAGGTATGCAAGTGATTCAACTAATGCATAGATCTCTCTAGGAAATTCCACATGTCTGATATCTTGAGGGAATTTCAGAAAGCTCTCTAATCACATTCCCTTTATCTAAATACAGTAAACGGAAAACTTCATGTAAAAAGAATTGTAGCGATGTAGCAACCGTGTCCTCTGCTGACCTTTGATGGGAAAAGATAGCAAGCTCTTGCCTGACTATCAGAGGCTTGCTGTCTCCTCTTTAACGTCTAATGTTTTGGAGAACTGACTGGGTGACATGTCCTTTGTACCCTGTGCTTTGTCATGTGATTGTGGTCCTGAGCCTCACATCAACACAGGAGTAATTATGCAAGGAAACAACGACGTGAAAAGATTTACAGCGCAGAGTCAAGCACAGCCTACGGATAAGAGCCAGCGGTGCTGCCTTCTCTTCCTGCCTCAGCACTGAACATCATATCATTAGGATATGGATTATTAGTGTATGGATTGCCATACTGCCCTGCTTTGGAGTGAAAAAAACCACTAAGCTATTTTTTCCTTTGTTTATTTAAAACTAATTACCCGGAAAAACATCTGGAGAAACGTCATCCTCTCTTTGAAAAAAAAAAGTCCTGGGAAAAAGTCAGACTGCACAATCTTGCTTTCACATACACCACAGAGCAGACTTACACTAAGTAATAATAACTTTTAAAAAAATTAAAGAAGTTTCAGAGATATTTATTTCTTCCTACATCCTTGTGGTTTGAGTAAAGGAAACCAAGAGTTTCCCAGGGATGTTTCTTTTTTTTCTTTCCTTAGTGGTAAACGAGTGATACCTCCAGTAGGATTTTCTTAACCAGGGGACTCTTTGGAGACTAAGAGTATCAGAAACATTTCCATATAAAGAACTAACTTCTAAAAAGGTGTACTGTGGCCAGACCTCATCAGATATTCAAACACTCTGTAAAGAAAACCAAAACAGTAAGACACAAAAATAAAAGTAATATATCAAAAAGCCCTCATATGGTAGCAAAGTTAGAAACTGAACTCTGTCATGTGTTCTTGTTGAACATCTTTTCAGAAAATTAAATTGAAGTAAGATATTCCTTGTTTAGGAAACTGTTTTGCTTCATTATCTGATTCTTTGATTCCTTCTTGGCTTAGGAAGATTGCCATTATGAAGAGCGCTTCAAGTATGCCAGTGAGAAATTTGGGAGATCACTGCTTGTGCTTTCTTCTCCCACATGGATGGATGGAGGGGAGAGTGATTCCAGATAGTTATTGAATTATTCTTTTAAAAATAGGCAGTCATAGGAACAAAATGGCTGAAGCGCAGACATCTGCTTATGTAGAGAAATTTCCCCACGTTAGGCCTGCCGTCAATATAAGAGGACTCTTGTAGATGCATTTACTTGGTTAGATTCAGGACTGGTGTTTTATAAATATAGTGAAATTATCCTACATTTTAGGCAAAGAGATAATGTGCAGTTACTGGGGCCTGGTACTTTGCTAGGCAGAAAAAGAGCTATAAAAGTATAAAATTCGGCTTCTGTTATCAAGGAATTTTCAGTTTCATGAAACAATGGTGATTAATGCCAGAAAGTATCTAGTAAGTCCTGTGTTGTTTGATAACGTGGCTGTAAGTGGTCAGTAGAGAAGGAGGCTGACGATGATCAGCGTAGCCCATCCTTATTGTTAATGGAGGAGGTGAGACTGCAGCCAGATCTCTGAAGTGTGTAGGATTTGGAGAGGGGAGAGCATGAAGGTACTCCAGGAACACCATGAAGTGGGCACATTCACGGAACAGACATGATGGCTAGTCTGACTGGTCAGAAGGCTCACTGACTAGGGATGGAAAGTAAGAGGATGAACAAGTGGAAGTTAGAAGACCCTTCCGAGGGAGAGCTGGAAAACCAAGCCGTGCATTTTATATTCGGTGTAGTGAAAAGACAAGGAGCCATTGCTGCAGTGGGTAATGAAGACATTGTTTAGGAAGAAAAGTCTGTAAGTAAGGTACAAGGTAAATGGGTAATAATTAGAACCACAGAGTTCAGCCAGAAAGCTGTTAGGTAGGGGAAGCCAGGTGTATGTGAACATCACATATTAGCTAGAGAAAGGAAGAGACTGAAGGAGAAAATTGTTTAAATATTGAACAGCTAGTTATATGCAGGAAGGAAGGGGGAAAATCATGACTCTGGGTCCAAGAAATTAACAATGATGGTGCCGCTGATAACAATGGAGAACTGAGAAGTGTGTATGCATGTGTGTGTCCTTTGGGAGGGAGGATGGAGGGGAAAGGAGTTTTGGCAATGAGGAGAAAGTAATACATAGTATGGTGGTTAGAAGAGGTAAAATGACCAAATGAATGTTTTTTTCAAGATCAGAGATTCAGCAAAATCAATAAAAAATTTCCTGGTACGGACAATCAGATCATGTATAGTTGTCCTGGAAGAACTTGCCCTGTACCATGGTCCTCTCTGCTCTGTGACAGAGGAACGGGAGTGAGCTAAGGTCGTGAATAGGCACGGTGGTAACAGGGTCAGCAGGCTCCTAGAGGCTTAAAAGAGCAGTAAAGACAGCACAGGAATCACAATTTGTGAAGTTCACCCTGAGGAGAGTCTATTTTAGCCAGTGAGATCATCCTTGGTAAGGTCGGAGGGCTTGAGAGACTAGAGATCTGAATATGAATAAAGTGCAAGTTCAGTTAGTTGCTAATAATAATAGTAATAATAATAATAATAGAAGCTAACACTTAATATAGGTCTTATCCCATGGCATTTGGAACTCCTTCTAGCACTTATGTACATGAGCTCATTTGGTCCTTAGACGACCACGCAGGAGCTGTGATGGTTATGGTGCAAATTCAAATCCTGACTCCTCTCACCTTGTGACCTTGGGCAAGTCATTTAAACTCCCTCTCTCTGTTTCCTTCTCTGTATAGTAGAATAATGACAGTGCCTGTCTCACAGGGTTTCTTATAAGGATTAAGGAGTATAAGTAGATGTAAAGTGCTTGGAACAGTACCTGGCACAGACTACATGCTCAACACGTTTTAGCTATTTCCACAGGGGGATACTGTTAAGGACAGATCGGAGTTGAAGATCTTGCTTTTTTTTCCCCAGGGAGTAGCAAAGAGACTATTCCTGGTAGCAGCTAGGAGCTGTGGAACAAAAAAGGGACTGTCTATTGTTGATGTGAAAAAAGGACAATCAGCAGAGTCAAGGAGGTCCGAGAACTGGGGTCACAAGGTCAAATGAATCATCAACTTGAATATCTGTGATCACAGAGAATAGGAACATAAAATAACCCCTGACTCATAGAAGGCAATAGTGATGATTTGGATAGAAATTGTGAAGTTAAGAATTAAATGGGTTGGGACTTCCCTGGTTGCGCAGTGGTTGGGAATCCGCCTGCCAATGCAGTGGACACAGGTTCGATCCCTGGTCCAGGAAGGTCCCACGTGCCGCGGAGCAACTAAGCCACAACTGCTGAGCCCGCATGCTGCAACTGCTAAAGTCCGTGCACCTAGAGCCCGTGCTCTGCAACGAGAAGCCACTGCAATGAGAAGCAACAAAGAGTAGCCCCCCGCTCACTGCAACTAGAGAAAAGCCCGTGTGCAGCAACAAAGACCCAATGCAGCCAAAAAATAATAAAAAAAAATTTTTTTTAATGTCAAATTTAAAAATAAATAAATACATTACCAAAAAAAAAAAAAAAAAAAAGAATTAAATGGGTTGACATGGGTCACAAAGAGTAGCTAAGAGATTTGAGCCCAGAGCAATATATATGGATGAGAAGCCAGATTAAGGACAGTTGTTAGAATCAGTGAAAAGGAGTACTGTGCTGGGGTGGCTGTGTTTTTCTCACAGAACTTTCATTTTCTATTGATTTCTAAGGTTCTGTACTTCTGAGACATTGGTTTGATTTCTGCATTGGCATCCTTATGCCACTCTCAGAGATGGACCAACAACTGCAGGACAAGAGGAGATGCAGGGAGGGCGTGCTAGCCCATGACTGCTCACTGACGTGTGGGAATAACCCAGCAGCAGGAGTGGTTTAATGGGTCCTTGTGACACACCCTCAAATAAAGAGGCAACGAAGCCTTGTGTTTGAAAGAGTAAAAAGTAGCAGGATATAGAATGCATTGGTTTCCATGAATATCTTTGTAAATGGGAAATTTGGGGAATTTGTCACCCTTTCATTGATTCATAAATCCATATTTTTAGAATGTAAGTAAAGGCAAACACATAATTTGCATTCATCTGTCTCACAAGCCAAGAATTTTCTCTAATGTGAAACCGTCTTTTCTGCACTGTCTAAAAATGTAATGTGCGTCAGAAGTTTTAAACATGTCTGTGTTATATCCACCTAATCGCGTTTCTAGTCCAGCTTCTAACTGGGTCGGTGAGTGGATACTGTGTGCAGAGTGCTGTGGGTCACAAGCCAGTGTGATGCAGTGAAAAGGATGCGTGTGAATCCCGGCTCTGCCTTTTCTGTTGACCTTGAACAAGTTAGATAATCTCTCTGAACCTTTGGTCATCTAAAAAACAAATGCTAAAATGCCAGTTTTGGAGGTCTCAGCCTGGGTCACCCAGGAGGCACAGCCTGAGACAAAAGCTGGCGTGCATATAGCTTATTAGCGCGTTTGATCCCAGGGAGCAGGAATACAG